AAAAACTCAAAATTTTATCAAAAAGCAAGAAAGCAAGTTGCCTACCCATTCCAGAGCCCATACTTTTCCTATTATATGCAGAAAACTACATTAAGATTAAGATCTATGATTACTAATAATCAAGAATACATGTCTTAGACCAAATTAATGACTGGCATAAGCTATATTTTCATTAGAAGAGGTTAATTTAGAACATAACTAAATTTAAGACTATCACTGAAATAAGGTTATACAGCTGTTATAAAAAAAAAAAAAAATCACAGCTTTCCAAGCCGTCTATATTTTTATTTTATGTGATTGTTTTTGCCCCTCCATTTGAAAAAGGAGAGGTTTAGCTACATAGGGTGACTTTTGACTGAGAGCCTCCTGCCTCTGCCTCCTAAATACTAGGATTAAAGGCATACATTGTCCCACTCACTGTACATGAGTTTTTCTTTTTCTTTTCTTTCCTTTTCAATTCTTATTTAAAGGACAGGGTTTCTCTTTATAGTACTGGCTGTCCTGGAACTCACTTTGTAGATCAGGGTAGGCTTGAACTCAGAGATCTGAGTGCTGGGACTAAAAAGGTATGTGCCATCAGGTCCAGCATTTGACGCTTTCTATTTTAAAGGCTGGCTCTTGCTGCTCCGCAAGCTGGCTTCAAACTCTCAAAGCTGCTCCATCCTCCCAGACAACTCAGATTACAGGTACATTACTGTTGCACTCGTCTCTGGCTCCTACTTTTGTTTTGTTTTTCCCCCCTTTTGAGAAAGGATGTCACAGAATCGAGGCAGGACTCAAACTCAATATAGTAGAGGTTGATCCTGAACTCTGTTCCTTCTACTTCCACTTTCCAAATACTGGGATTAAAGGTATGGGCCACCAAGCTGTGCTAATTCTTATTTTTAAAGATTATAGTATTGACAGTAGGTTTTCAAACTGCTCCTGCATTATACTGAAACCCATCTACGGAAAGGCTAGGAGAGGGTATTATAGCACTAGAGACAGAAGCTAAACTGTATGTACTTCAAGTGTCTAGCTCATGTCCAAGGTTTATAAATGACAGATTTTGTTCCAAATCCCAGAAGGGATTTATGAATATATCTGATTTCTTTCATCTATTACTTAATATCAAGTTCCGAATTGCTCCAGAATTTTGCACTGCTGATAACCCTGCTTGATTTCACTTAAACTCTGCTCTCACCAACATTCAGATCACTCATAACTTTTGCATCACTTCTCCACAAAACCATTACACTAGTCACCACATCTCCACCATTCCAATTAGTTTCCATCTGAAAACTATTTAAGAGGTTGTCTTTAGTTATTTTACTGCTACTGTAATAAGACACCATAACAACTTATAAAAGTGTTTTGAGACTGGCAGTTTCAGAGGGCTAGAGTACACGATCATGGTGGAGAGAGCACATAGCAGGCAGGCATATGCTGGGTTTCTCAGTGTAGCCTTGGCTGTCCTGGAACTCACAGAGATCAGCCTGCCTCTCTCTGCCTCCCAAGTGCTGGAATTAAAGGTGTGCACCACCCAACACCTGGGCTAGGTTATACTTTGATCCACAAGTACAAGACAGAAAAGTGCTAACAGCCCCTGAGGCACACCTCTTTTTAAAACCATACCTCCTAATCCTTCCCTAAAAGTTCCACCAACTAGGGGACCAAGCATTCAGGTAGATGGGACTATTGGGGCTGTTCTCATTCAAACCACCAGAGGTAGAAGGGCAAGGACCAAACCTAACTATGGATAGCCACAATTATTAGAACTGAAAGTTCAAAATTTTTAGATCAATCCTCTCAGTCTGCATGAATTACTCTGACAAGTAACCTGGTAAAACTTTTGACTTCAAAACTGCCAGTAAGAGCCTGGTTTAACTATTTTGGTCCTCTTCACGGTATTTATATGAATTTTAATCTAGTTACTTGGAATGATGCCACAGTTTAGGAACTTTCAGAACAATGAATACCAAAGGCTGTTCATCTACATTTTAAATAGTTAAAATTATCCATCTCCAAACTACTTTGAAAGGGAGTCAATTGCTATTTTGGATCAAAACCCTGGCCAACTCCCTTTTACCCCCATTTTATTTTATTTGCTTTTTTAAAAATTTAATTTTTATATTCCAACCTGGCTGGCTTTTTTTTCTCGTCCTTTTTATTTTGGTTTTTCAAGACAGTGTTTCTCTGTATTGAAGGCTGTCCTGGAACTAGCTCTTGTAGACCAGGCTGGTCTGCCACTCAGAAATCTGCCTGCTTCTGCCTCCCAGCTTTATTTTTTTTATTATTATTTTTTGGTTCTGACAGACTCTTAAACCAAATGAGTCTCATCTTTTTTTTTCCCATATGAATTTTTCCTCCAGCCTCCCCCGCACACACACATACATTTTACTGTGTTCATGTTCAGAAACCTTAGGTTTCCTTCACTTCCTCTTCTTGAGTCCTTACTAAATTAATAATCACAAAATAGAAACCATTCATGGTTATGACTATAGGTCAATACACAGCTCTTACCCTGGGTTCCAGCTCCCAAAAGTGAATCACTGACCAGTTTATCACTTCCTTTCTGTGTATTCACTGGTCAGTTCACACTCAAACCACAAATCCTAGATGTAGACACACCATTACAAACATCAGGCAACTGGAGACATACCTTATGGTGGCAGAGCACTTGCCTAACATGTGCAAGGCCATGAGTTCAATTCCCAGTACCATAAGAAGAAAACCTGAAACTTCAATCTAACTTCTCTCCTTGACCTGCCCTTACCAATTATGGTTGCTACCAACTGACCATCCTCCAGTCACACAAAAAGCCTTCCCCACCACTTAAGCCCCAACCCAAATTCTTCCCATTGGCCTGCAAGAATGACAAGCCCACTCCCTCCGTCAATGTTCACCCTCAAACCTTTTATATCTCTGTGAAGTCTTGTTTCCTTCTAACTACACTACATTTTGCTCATAAATACCTTATATATCTGCATTATAAATTACTGTAGGGAAAAAATAAAATAAAAACAATGTTTCTCAGCTTTGTTCTTCCCTACATTGCTTAATCTTTCAATATACAGCAAGCTCTCCAGTATATTTGCCAACCTGAAGACATGGTTTCCCAGGATACTCTTTCTAAGATTGGTCATCAAGACAAAATTTGGCTGAAGACACTATATTAATTTTAATTTGTGCACTGGTATCTCAGACTGGTCTAATCTTCCTCTTCTATTTCTGTCTCATGCAAGACAAAATACCATCCTAATTTCAAGAATTCTCTTCTTAAAAGGATATTCATGACAGGTCTATGCTAAGTATCTGGTCACTCTCTCAAACCACACTATCAAAAATAAATAAAAGGGAAAACTCTGAAAGGCAAAGTTTCTGGGGGGGGGGGTTTGGAGAAATGGTTCCATAGTAGGTAAAAAGGCTTGCTGTTCTTCAAGAGGGCCCCAGTTGAGTTCCTGGCACCCAAGCAGTGGCTAAAACTAACTCCAGTTCCAGAGGATAAGACCCCTGACCCCTTCCTCTGGACAAGGCATCCTCATGGGTGGTACCCACACACATATGCATGCAGAACACACACACACACACACACACACACACACACACACACACACACACACCACAATCTTAAAAAAATAGAACTATATAAGATGCAAAATTGAATATTCTTTTGGTTCAGTTAAACTGCTGGAGAACTTAAAATATTTGTCAATTCTGAACCACATAGGCAAATAAACCACCAAGTGGTAACAGCAGTTATCAATATGTGCTATAAAAAATCAGCCATTATTATCCAAGTTGGCAGCTCTTTACTATGAACTGCCCCTAGCATCTGTATCTACCATGACTTTGTTCAGATCTCTCGTTTTAGAAAAATTCCCATTAAGTTTTACACAACAGGTAACAGAAGTTCTGGGTTCCACTGGTTTGATGTGATAAAAGAAAGGCTGGGAAGAGTAATTTTTTTTCCTTCTCTTATTAAAAAAGAAAAAAAAAATCACCAACCCTGAATGCTTGCCTTTCAAAGGACACCTAAACCCAGTATGGATCAAGTGTGTCAGCTCTAGGCAACTCTTAATAAAGGTGTCGTACAAAGAGCAAACCCAGTGGTCATTGCTATGCTACTGCATCAGAATGAGCATGGGATTCTCTTGGCAGCATGAAAATATCTGACACTCCAGACAGGCTACTACATAAATTTTAGAAACTTGCTTTACTGATGAAGAGATGTGTCAAAATGATGACCAAGCTTTAAAAAAAACGCTCTCTTCTAATGAGGGTGAATCACAACTGTTACCACCCTGCTAGGACTGGACAAAACCTGGAAAGCTTTCCCTGCCCGTTCATACCAGAAATGGCTTCATTACAACACGCCCGGGCTTAAGCGAGACAACAGAGAAAGAAACGTTACTAAATGATGAAAGTGACCTGGGCATTGAATTCTCTAGATTTGCCTGTACCTTCATTTGGTGAACTCCACCCTACACATACACACACATACATACATACATACAACACACACACACACACTACTCCCTGTCCCTCTCCGCCTATCACACACACACACCCCTTTACCAGGGAAGGGCTTAACACACACCCACCTGGAAAAAACGAAGCTATGTTTAGTTTCCCATTCCTAAATGGGGGGGGGGGGCACGACACGGGACGACATACTACCCTCTCCATGTTAAAAGTCCCCGTGCCTGCCTTCTGCCTGTGAGGTGAGTCCCCCAAATTGACTGGTCGCTCAGACATCACGACCAGTGTGTCTCCCGGTACAAGGTTAAACAGATCTTTTTCAGTCTTGTGCAAGCCTGCGCAGATGTGCCCAGCTTTTTGTAAACCCAGAGCCTGTGAAGAGATTTGGTCAACCTTAGTGGGAACCTCTAAGACAGGGTACGAAGGAAGCCAAGGGCTCATCTCACACACTCTGCACCCCACCGAGGGCACCACACAAAGGGTGTCGGCTCCCGCCGCCCCGCTCCCCCACCGCGGCCGGGCGCGGACTCACGACTCACCAGGACCGTGGTGCAGATGGACCTCAGCTCCGACTCCACTTTCTCCCGATAGTCCTTGATCAGCTGCAACTTCTTGTCAGAGGTGTCGGTCTTCTGCTCGATGCTCGAGATGACCCTCCAGGCGGACCTGCGGCCCCCGACCACGTTCTTGTAGGCCACCGACAGCAGGTTGCGCTCCTCGTTGGACAGCTCGGCGCCCTGCTCCGTCACGGCTTTCATGCAGGTGGCCATGTCGTCGTAGCGCTCGGCCTGCTCGGCCAGCTTGGCCTTCTGGATCAGCTCGGTCTTCTCCATGGCGAAGCGAGGGCGAGCGCCGAGCCGGATCCGGAGTCCTCCTGAGAGCCGCCAGAGGCGGGGCGGAGCGGGGCGGGACGAGGGGAGGGGAGCAGCACGTCAGACAATGCGGCCGGACGCCCGCTTTGTCTCGGCGCACGAGGCCGCGTCCAGGGGCCTCGCGCGGGGCCGCCGCCTTCCCTTCCGCGCGCGCCCTCTGGCCGGTTCGCCCTCCGGCTGGCTCGCCCGCCCGCCCGCCGCGCCTCCCCGAGGCCCGTGCACGGGCCCCGCCCGGCCCAAGATGGAAGCGGCCGTTGGCGCCGCACCTCCCCGTCCCAGCCCGTCCCTCGGGCGCGCGGGGGCCCGGCAGCCCCGGGGACCGCGCCCTGCCACCCCCGGCCCCGGGCCCTTGCGGTGGCGGCGGCCGCTCGGCTGCGCCTGTACTCACCTTCTAATCTCCGCGGCCGCAACGCGAGTCCCACCACTTTGCTCTGCCTTGGGCTTTAGCCGAGGACCCTCCCGTCTCAGCCTAGCGCGGAGCCGACGAGCGCGCCACCGACCAATAGCGTCCCTCAGCTCCCTAGGGAGTCCCGCCTCAGGCCCCTCCAATGGCCAATGAGAAGCGAGCGCGCGGAAGGGGGCCGCAGGGGGCGGGGCGAGAAGCGAAGCGGAGGCTGGGAGGGTGGGTCGGCTCGGGTAGGTTCGGTTGGCCCGCAGGCTGCGGCTTCGGCCACGGGGTTTCCTCCAATTAGATCCAGGGTGAATGGACGTCACTGTTGCCATGGCGATGCTTTAACCAACTCCCCTTATCCTCCCAGCCAGCCCTACACTCCTGGGTGCGGCACGGGACCCGGAGGTGCGCTCGACCTCCGTGGCTGCAGTTGCAGCCGCGTGTCCTGTTACTGCAGCGGCCACTGCAGATGGGGCGTTGCAGCTCGCCGGCTGCAGCGGCTCGCGGCTGGACTTCGCTGGGTGACATAATTGACCGTTTTGTTACACAAGTGCCTTTCTTCCACCTTTCTATTCTTAACAAAGGTTTGAATCCCCAAGACGCTGAACCGCAACCTTCATGGCTTCCCTGTTTTATCTGCTAATTAGAAATGACCCCATCCCTGTTTTTGTTTTTTAAATCGTTCCCTGAGAAAACGGCTTAATTCAAGTTTTCCCGTAGGCACCCTAAAGCCTGGAATCCCTTGCGGAAAGGTGATCCAGGAGATCCGGGTAGGTCCGCGTGGCATCGCCAGTTATGCGCTTTTCTTTAAAATGGGAAACGACATTAAGCACGATTTGGAGAAACACAGCTATGAATACCTGTTCCCGAAGCACTTTTTCCCCCTTTACGTTTCTTTTCTACTTCCCAGGTTAATGTCGAAATGCATACACGTGTGTGTGAAGCGTGTGTCCATGCTTTGAGTTTTGGGTGTGGTGGGTTGGGTTTTTTGTTGTTTTTGTTTTTCTTCTGGTTATTATTATTATTATTATTATTTCCTCCAAAGATCCTTGTAAAGCCAAGCCAAAAATCTGTCCTTGGGTTGACTTCCGATTTTTCCCGCACGACAAACACGCTTCTAGAATGAGAACACTTGTCCCTGATCCTAAGTATTCAGGGTCACGACAAACGTCTTCCTTTTAAATCGCTTCTTTCTCTCCCGGACCTTCAATTACCCTCTTCCCACCCCCAGCTCCAAGTGTAGTAGCTGTCCTTCGGACTTCAAAAGGAAATTGCCACCTGGGCTCAGGCAGTTGAGATTGCAAATCCCGTTGTCCTCAAGGGTTCAAAGAACTTCAGGGACCGCCACAGGCGAAGTGGATTTAAATGCTACGTGGAAGCAAGCGAATCTGGACACGGAGCAGACAGATGGGAGGGAAAAGGACAAACTTTCCAGAAATTCGAATTCCCTCCCAGCCGCCCCTCCCCAACCAACTTGTAAAGGTTGCTTTGTGCTTTGACGGGAGAGGCCTGGTTAGAAAGCGACTCTGTCAGAACAGAAATGCCTTACTATGCTCCAGTGCTCTAGCAGAGGGCCCCATGTTATTTCTGGAATCCCTGAGGCCAGGCTGTAGACACACACACAAGCGTCTATGGTCCTGTGGGTTGGGTGGAGCTCGACACATAGAAATCCCAAAGGAAAGAATTTACATGTGGAAGGTCAGATAAAACGCCTCTGAATGAGAGCTGCAAGCCCTTGCCATACATAGGAGACATCCTGGGAAGTAGACCAGATAGACCTTTGAAGGGGAAATTGTCAAGGGGTTGTATTTCAGAGAGGCACTGTCCAGAAGAGGCACATGGACTACATTCTTTATTAATAAACCAGGATGCTCTGGCATCTCTCCAGATGGCATTGGGCAAACTTTTGCCTTTCTCTGTACCCAACCCCCTAAAATTACCACTTTGATACAAATATTTATTGCACACCAGCTCATATATTATGATTATGTAAAATCAGAAACATGACACATTATGAAATTGTAATGTATGAGAGTCTCCAGAGAATTCTGCCTCTGTGTCCCAAAGAAAGATCTGGACACTTCAAGCCCTAGGACACAGAAAAGCTGACATTTCTTAAGGAGTAACGAGTGTCACACAAAATTTAAATCCTGAAAGGATTAACTCATCCAATATACTTAGTGCCACTAGAAAGCAAATACAAAAGGGAAATGAGACACAGCCTGCTCACCCAGCTATTCAGCAGCAGGTATATGTACATATACATACATATATCCGTGTGTGTGTGTGTGTGTGTGTGTGTGTGTGTGTGTGTGCGCCTATACAGTGTAGTTGTCAAAGTTCATCCCTGAATTCTTGCTGTGGCTGCTTCACCTAGTCCTCTCAGGCTCTGGTAGGGGCTGTAAAGAAGGTGCTGAGTAGTTTCTCCATCTTCTTGGAGTAGCATCCATGTATTCAGTATCACACCAAGGTTCTGGGAAGGATTCTAAGAACACAGCAAAGAAAGTATGAGCAGTTACCTAATTATTGCTGAATTGCCAGCTAAGAAGTTGTTGGAACAGAACAAGATACATTTATCTTGCAGACAGATGACCCTAAATCTCAGCCCTGATGTTTATGATTTGACCTTGGGAATCTTGGTCCTCTTAGGAGCTCGGTTATTATACCTATGAACTGTAAAATACGGTTTGTAACTCAGCAGAGTAAGCTCTCCCATAAGAAAATACCTGAAGTCTCTCAAGTACCCATCCAGTAAGTTTAAGTTTTGTTCATTCCTCTTTCCCTCTGCTTGGGGCTAGGGAAGGTGTCCTCTAAGTCAAGGAACCTTGGAACCTAGTGATTTGTTAATGAAGGCTTATCTTTTGAATCACTATGATAATTAGCATAAGTAATGACTGCAGGATGGCTTTAGTGTTAAATATGATGGAGTATTTCCACAAAGATATTTTTTAATGAGACTGACATTTTAATTTATTCATTTTATTTTAGTTTTTTGTTTGTTTTTGAGACAGCCATGGCTGTCCTGGAACTCACTCTGTAGACCAGGTTGGCCAGGAACTCTGCCTAGGCCTCTGCCTCTGTCCCTGCCTCTCAGGTGCTAGAATTAAAGGCATGGGCCACCACCACCAACCAATAAGGTTGACACAATTAGTAGACCTCACTATTGAAGGTGGATCTCATTCAATGAATTGGAAGCCTAGCTAGAGCAAAACACCTGCCTCCTTTGAGCTTGAAGGAATCCTCCAGCATCCTGCATTTGGGTGTTATCTGCAACAGAGGCCCCTTGGAGACCTTTGGACTGGAAAGGGAACATCAGCCCTCCTTGGCTCAGCTTGTTGGTCCACCCTGCACAATAAATCAGTGACTTGTAATCCTTCCATCTGTCCTATTTTTATATCGTGATGGTTAATACTGATTTGTCAACTTGACAAGATCTAGAACTGTAGAAGAGACAAGCATCTGGGCATGTCTGTAAGGTGTTATCTAGATTAGGTTAACTGATGTGGGTGGCACTATTTCACAGGCTAAGGTCCTGGTCTACATAGAAAAATAGAGCTGAACATTCACATTTCCAGCTCTCTGTTTCCTGACTACAGATGTAACCCAAAGCTCTTGCCACCAATACCCTCAAACAGAGACCTGAAATAAACCTTAAGTTTCCTTTGGTCAAGTATTTTTGCCACAGCCTGAGAGAAGTAACTAATACATATAGTCTATATTATTTCATTGGGAAGCCCTAACTGACACATCCAATTACTTTTTCTACTCAGCAAAAGATTCGGACGTCTTTCCATAGCTTTAAATGTATAACCACAAAGTGCCTGTCTTACCACTCCCCTACCAGACCATATGCTTCCCGAAGCCCAGGGCTTTTTGGTTTTGTTTTGTTTCCCTATCTCATCTCTCCAGTGCCCTCTGAATACCACAGAGTCTGGTTGATTCTTGTTGGTTCTGAGGTAGGAAGCTCTGATTCCCTAAATCACCTACCCAACTGGCAAGCCTTAGAGTTAAGATCCAGAAACAGGTCTGTCTGATGTTTCTACAACAGCCAGGACTATGCATGCTTGCAGTGAGGGAAGGATAAGCCACCACTGTCTTGAACACAAAGCTTAGTTATTTGAGGCTGGTGGGTGGCTAAGTATATATCTCCTAGTGAGTCAGCAGCTGTTTTTATTTTCATATGGGAGCTCTGTTTCACTACCAGTGTATCTAGAACAAGGGAGACATCCTCTGACCCCTTTCATATTCTCTTTGATGCTTTCTGTATTTCAGTCTCCTGGTCCCAGCTTCAGACCATACTCTTCGAGTGGGCAAAATTAGATCTCACTCCCTTGTCCTTGGTGACTTTTCTTGCCCACAAAAGTCATTCAGTGAAGGGTTTGTATTGAGAGTGAGTTCAGGCCATCAAGGGGAAGCATGGCCAGTCTCGTATTGATGGTTAGTATCGTGTGCTCATTGTGTGCCCAACCACATACAAAGGCCGAGGGACATTGCACACAGAAACATGGAGAGCAGAGAATACACTATGAAAATAGGATTGTGCTCACTCTGAGCTTGCCAAATCCTAGAACCCAACATAGAAGACCTTGGATCCCTCAGAGAACACCACAAAGATGAAGTATTAACATGCACCCTAGTAGATTGTCCAAGCCCTAACTCAATTTCTCATTGATTCATTCAAAAATTCCTTTTTTTTTTTTTTTTAAATTTTACTTTATGTGCATTGGTGTTTTGCCTGCATGTATGTCTGTATGAGGATTCCAGACCACTTGGAACTGGAGGTACAGACAGTTGTGAACTGACATGGGGGTGCTGGGAATTGAACCTGGATCCTCTGTAAGAGCAGCTGGTGCTCTTAACTGCTGAGAGGGCATCTCTCCAGCCCTCAAAAACAAAAAAAAATTCTTAGGTGTATATCATGTGCCAGATGCTGTTTCACATGCTGGAATTTTGGGAACAGTTGCCTACACAGAGCTTAGAAGAGAGTAAGGGGTAGGGTACTTAACTTGGAGTTCAGTAAAGCACAGGAGAGGCACCCCCTTCTTTGTTAGTTCTGTGAGGCCCTGCTGTAGAGGAGTATCCACTGAGCCCAAACAACCACCACCATTGAGTTTTCAGTTGTGTACACTT